CGGATATTGAATATCAATCCCTTGAGTACCCAATATCTACACCCGCATTACGGGTTAGGGTTTAAGACTACTAATGGGTCAAGCTCTATCCCTAGATACAATCACCACTAGGCATATGTTTCAGAACTAGTTTCAAAGGTTATTTTCCAATACCCATGGAACCTTAAATCATGCAAAGGGTGATCAATCCAAAGCAAGCATTAAGAATAGAAACAAACACAACAAAGAATAAAACAACATGTATATATATCATTAAAACCGTAAAGATTACAATAGAGTACGTTGGTTACATCTAACCCCACAAAATGGGTGAAACCACCCACAACAATGAGGGAAAATACAAAAATAGAGATGGAAGAGGAAGTGAAGAACCGAAGGAAAGATCCGCACACGGACGATCCCAAGCCCTGGGAATCCCTTCCGCAGCTCCTGGAGGCGCCCAATGTGAGAATGGGGGAGAAGTCCCCGAAAATGCCTTCAAATACGAGCTTGGGGAGACAGATTAGGGTTCATGCGCCCGGCGCATAAGTCTTTGCGCCCGGCGCATGGTCTTCCAATTGCCCTCTGTCTTCAGGACACGCCCGACGCAATAGCTTCCAGAGGTGAGATGCTCTGTTTTGCTCGCCCGGCGCGGATCACCTTGCGCCCCGCGCATAACCTCTTCTCTGCTCCTTAGCTCCTTTAGTTTCCAATCCTATGGATCTTCAATCCTCAAGTCCCTAGCTCAATACCTGCACAAAAAATGAGGTGTATTAAGGTATTGTTAGCTAAATTTGGGTTAGTTGTATCTGCACACAAAATGAACCAAAAAGAGAATAATTATATTGCAATGGTTCAGAGGATGAGTGGAATTCGTTCAATAAGTCTCATCCAAAAAGAGGTAAAATTGAGACTTAACAGTGCGCCTTCTATCAAAGCCTCGAAACGGCCCGTTCCAATTCCAGAACGGCCCGTTTTGAACTTTGGAACGGCTGTTCCAATTCCAGAACGGTCCGTTTCGAATTTAAGAACGGCCGGTTCTGACCTTGGAACATCCCGTTTTGGGCCATTTTTTGAAAACGCTTACTTGCGCCCGGCGCAATTCATTTTTGCGCCCGGCGTATTTGTTTCCAGAGAGAGCTATATGCTCTCTGCGCCCGACGCAAGGCTTCAAGCCCGGCGCGAATCACCTCTGAACCCTTCTTTTTGTTGTGTTTTATTTTCTTTTTAGGTTCCTGGTCAGTCTAAGGCTAGTTTTCATTTTGAATTCCTTATCGTTGTCATCCTGGTCTCTTGTTGTGCTCATCTATCTGCCTGGTATTTCCTTGGTTAACTTTTGCAGATGGCCTCCTCAAGCAAGCGCCCCCGTGCAGTCAAGTCGGGTCAACCTCCGCGCAAACCAAGTCGGCCCTATTCCGATCTCTTCCTGACCGAGCGGAATGAAAAGCATTTCGAGTCCATCAGTAGCAGGAAGTTTATTTTAGAGCGGAGGGTTGAGTTAGAAGACAGGGAGGCCCCGGAGTTCCAGAACGAGTTACACCGGCGCCGGTGGGACAAGCTTGGTTCCTACCCACTCCCGGCCAACATAGCTGTGGTCAAGGAGTTCTACGCCAATGCTATGAGACAGGAGGGCATTGAGCCATTTACCAGCTATGTTCGGGGAGTGTGAGTCCCCTATGATGCCCGGACTCTCTGGTTGGTCCGAGATGGTCCAACATCAGTTGTGAGGACGATTTCCTTCTCTTCTGGTCTCCTTGCTCGAGCGCCTCGGATGTACCTGCAAAAAGGACTCCGACGATCAAGTTAGTTGCCATTCCATTGTCCATTCTCATACTTATGCCTTACCTGGGTTGTGCGGTTTTCTGAGATAACTGCTATAGTGGTTATCCGAGGTGAGTTAACTATAGTTAAGTCGGTTGGATTTACCATGTGTTATATGTTTTGATGTTCTCTATGGGCTGAGGTGTTGGTATTGCTGGTTTCAAGGTCTGAGTCAGCTAATATTTGGTCAACACCTTACGTCGTGATCTTTGCATGACTACGTTCCCACATCGGGGATGGAATGTGGATCTCGGCATGACCTCGGTCCCACATCAGGGGTGGTACATATACTATTTCTTTCTTTTAATTAATACTCATTTTTTTCTTAATCAATTACTTTATGTTCTTTAAAAAATTTATAAATAATACATTTTATCACACTTTAATTAGAAATATGTCGATAAAAAAAATTAATTTATAAACTAATATGAATTGTATTTTATATAAAGGAACATAGTAGTAATTATTCAAATGTAATTATTTAAAAAAAATGAAAATGAAGATAATTAACAAGTTCCAATATTTATGTGAGAGACTGCCAACAGATGAGAATAAAGATACTAGTAAGTAGTAAGAAGCAATGTTTTTATACGACGAGATCTTATCTTAATACTATATGTAACGTGGTTTAAAAAAAATGTGGCTGATTTAGTAGCCCGGAATGGGCCGTTCCCAATCTGGAACGGGTCGTTCCAAGCTATTAAATTAAACTGAAATTCGTGGTTGGGAATGGGCCGTTCCGGAGGGAGAACGGGCCGTTCCGGATGAGTCCCGGAACGGGCCGTTCTGGGCGTGGATTTTGTGCGTGAATTGGGAGTTCGGAACGGGCCGTTCCGAACTCGGTACGGGCCGTTCTGGGGCAATCCGAAAATCTATAAATAGGGGTTAGGGGCCTTCAGGAAAATGTGAGTTTTTAGAGAGAAGTTTTAGAGAGAAGGTCTCTGAGTTAGTGAGCTCCTTTCTCTCCCAAATTTCTCTGTTTGACTCCTTTTCTCCTCTAGACCACTAATGTCTTCTGACTTTTCTTGAAATTCAGATTAGAAAGCTTGCTTTGGGATGATTGAAGTTTCGGGTTGAGCTTTGGAAGGGGATTCTATTTCGTCACAGTTGTTGGCTATTCTGAGCTAACCTTCAGGTAAGGGAAGCTAGAATGTTTGTTGTGTAGGTTGCATGTGAGTTTAGAAACTCAATAGGTGCGTGAATGTTGAGAATCCATAGATGGATTGAAGAAAATCTCATCTTTTGGGGTTTTGAGAAAAAAGAGGATTTTGATGTATAGGTTGGATGCATGTGAGATTTGAGTTATTTTGAGTTGTATGGAGCCTATGTATTGTG